TTGAGCAACCTGGTCTAGTGGAAGGTGTCCCTGCCCATGGCAGGGGGGGTGGAACTAGATGGTCTTTAAGGTCCCTTCCAACCCAAACCATGCTGTGATTCTATGAAACTGTGCATTCAGGGGAGGCTCAATAGGCAAAGCTAGTAAAACTGAAGCTATAAAGAGGATGTCTGGGATGCGGACTAGCACCTCTGAACCATCGCATTACAAATAAAACAGACACCATGTCTAACACAGACTCGGAATTTGAAATGAAGAAGTAAATGCCCATACTTGCCTTTATTTTCTTCTTTTTTGATGCTGTTGGAGAGCTCTGAAGGTCTTTTCTATTTGCAGAACGAGAATTTCTCTCACCTTCACTCAAGTCCTCTAGCTTCCTTTTCTTTACCGTGCTCCTCAAAGACCGGAACTGCTGCGTATTGTCCTTCAGGGGGGTTGCGGTGCTAGTCCTTGCGATAGCCGCCCGCGACAGTATCATCAGCGTGTGAGCAGCCATGCTGACACTGTTTTCACTGCCTGTTTCGCTAGCCGGGCTGCAGGCAGGCAAGTCCGGTGTGGCAGGGGGTACCATGATCCTGGGGGTCGTGCTCTCCTCGTTGAAGCGGCGGCAGGTTGGCGTCCGTACGCTGTCTGTAGTATCATCTGTATGCCTGTCCCCAACTCCGGACGGCGTACGGGGTACCGGCAATTCTCCGTTATCCGCCGTTTTACTGGACGGGCTGTGCCACTGAATGTCTTGCAGCATTTCCACACACTGTTTAGCAAAGGGGCTGGAGAGGCACAGGCCTTGGGTGGAAACTTTAGCTGGTTCTCGCTTTGGCTCCTTCGAAGACAAGGAAACGGACACTGAAGACTTCCCATTCCCATTCGCCAGCGACCCTTGCTTTTTGTTCAGCTCCTGCACCGAAGCAACCATCTTCTCGTTCCATAAGTTGACACTTTGCTGGCCATTTGAGAGTTTGGCAGCATCCTGGTTCTTGTGTTTCTCGTCACTATCCCTTCGTAACTCATTTTCCTTATTTGCTGTAGTCTTGTGGAAGGGATCCAACGGAAGCCCCGCGGTTGCCACCTTCCGCTCGGGCTGCGGCTCCTTCGCAGAAGCGCTTCGGTTGATACCAACTTCTGGTTTACACAGAATTCTAGGCAATGTTTTATCTTTCTCTCTCTTTGCTGCCTGTGCCTTGGCTGAGGATGATGCAGAGTCAACAGCAAATAAGGTATTTTCGTTCCTTTCTTTCTGGGATAAACTCTTGGCAGTCTGAATCTGGGTGTTTCCTCCTGGAGCAGGCAGGATGTTATCAAAGCAAAGCACCC